CCAGGCCATGTTGCTGCCCCGCCGCTCCTCTGAACTCATGTGTTTTCACTCTCTTGCCACCGCCCCCCGCCCATTCCCTCTCCCCCATCCAACTCGTTTCCCTTCGCTCTTCTTTGGCACCCATTCCCTTCACATTCCTCTGCTCCCCCCGCCCGCGGCGGCAACCACGACGTCGACGACAAAAACGACGACCACGAAGACAACGGCGGTGACGGCGACGACGACGACGCTGACGACGAGGACCGTCTCGGCTGAGAGAAGGCGGGACGGCCCCGCAGAGGGCCTTGCACTTGGTCTGCTGCCTGAGCCAATCGATCGCGATAAGGGAGATGTCTGGCCTGCGCGCGAGGGTGGGAATTCGACCGCACTCCCAACGTGCGTGGCAAGTTCTTATATATCTGTATATATATATATATATATATATATATGTATTCTCATGGGTCCTTGCTCTGGACCTGCACCGCCACGCGTCCCCAACGACTCCTCTGCGAGAACGGCGCCCATGCACCATACCACGCCTGGACTCCGTTCAGGCCCCGCCCCAGCGTGGTACGGAGCAGTTGTGAGGCTCCTGAGGGCCGACAAACTTCAGTGGAGGCCAGTCCACAAGAAACCTTCTACAAGAAACCCAACCCTGAGACACCAGGACGTCCATGGATGTGTCGTGTGGGAACGCCACGCTTCCCGCAGCCAAACCATCGAAACCAGAGAAACCATGACACCCTGGAGGCAAGGAAGGTGTCTCTTGGTATGGGCATCCACTGTGTGCACTGTACCGTTCCTGGGCCGGAGATCAACAACGCCTCGGGAGACGCCAACGCGGCCTGGTGCATACGTATCGTCCGCGAATATCATCCCGCCACCTCCTCTCCCCCGTACCATCTCCCGGTTTCTGCTCTACGTCGCGTGCCATTTCGCGTCTCGTGGCCCCGCGGGGAGCTTCACTTACGGTTAGGTCGGGCGCGTCCTCCTTTACAGGGGGATGTCGGAGGAAAAACGGGACATCGTCCAAACACCATCAAACATGGTTATAAAATTAAAAAATCGTCCCCAGACAATTGTTTGACTATGTTCTAACATTCCTCCTGTAGAGGGACACGCCCGACTTAAACTTACGGCCCCAACGGAAGGGCTCGCATGACTGCACCCTCCTGCCTCCTCCTCCTCCTCCACCTCCATTTCCATTTCCATTTCCATTTCCATTTCCATTTCCATTTCCATTTCCATTTCCGTTTCCATTTCCATTTCCATTTCCATTTCCTCCTCCTCCTCCTCCTCCTCCTCCTCCTCCTCCTCCTCCTCCTCCTCCTCCCCCCTCTCTCTTTCTCCCCCCCCCCCCTCCCTCCCGCGCCCGCCCCCTGTTGGCCGCCGGCGCCGCGGGGGGTGCGAAGGCCGCGGCGCAGCGCGGATTATGGTCCTCACCGAAGGGGGCGACATCCCTGAAGGGGCCCCAGGACACACAAATATATACACACAAATAGAAAGATTCCCCATATTTTCACATATTTTCTGGGCTTCTGTCTTCCCGCCCAATTCCGTTATTTTCCCATATTTTCTGGGGGCTCGACGATTCATTGTGTCTGTGTGCTTCTTCCCCTCCCAAACTTCTGAAGAAGCCCGCAGGCGGGAGAGAGCGCAGGGGGCGGGCCTGGAGGGGCGCGGGCCCGCCCACGCGCGTCAACCCCGTTCGGCTACACGCAAGAGTGACCCTGGGTAAGAGCGACCTCTGGTGCGCAGCTTCGGGGGGCCGCGGGGAGGCCCAATCCAGGCGCGCTAGCCGCTGCTACCGCTTCGCGTTCAGCCATCTGGGGGCCCATCCGTGCCCGCACCCACCAGAGGTCACTCTGGCGAAAGGTCACTCTTACGTCTGGTTGACCCGTCCGCGAGCGCCCACCGGGCACGGCCGCCAATATCCAGCCAACTTCCTGTCAAAACAGATCCGCTTCGGGGGGGGCACAGAGGTGGGGGTGGGGCACAGGTGGGGTTGGAAGGAACGTCGCTCCAAACGGCCCCTTGAGAAAGGAAGCGCACTATACGGGAGCATCCAGCTGGGCCCGTTCCCCACCCAAACCTTGGGATAACAATCCCTCTACTTCGGTCGACCCAAAAGGGGGTCCAGCTGAAAGGGGGTGGTGCAATAGATTTTGGGCAATTATGTTGCAAATGCACTGCGCCAGAGAATTGCATTGCTTTGTATTGCACCGACTGTATTGCACGCGAAAGTCCAGCAACACATGTGCGCCCCGGAAAGTATTGCACGCCCAAAATGTATTGCAGCCCCACGAATCTTTTGCACCAAATCAATTGCACCACCCCCTGGTCGCTGGAACCCTTTTGGGCCAACCCGATCTACGAACCCCCGACCGCTTAGTAAAACGAGCGTGGAGACGTTGGCGAAGGAATCTGGAAGCGGTTGCGGGGGAAGCGTTTCGCAGAACACGTGGCGGAAGGTTTTGTCGATTCGCCAGGGCCCCATTCTCGGACGCGCGCCCTAGGGCGC